TTGCTTTTTCTGCAAGCCAATTCATGAACTATGTGTGTGCACATCTGTACAATGGAATAATCTTGCAAATCAGATTATGCAAAAGTCAATCGATAATTTGACGTATTTAGTTACATCAATGAAAACCCTTAACCTAAATCTTAAGGACGGCGGCGGTTTGATACTTATGTAGTAGGTATGGAAGCAACTTTTTAATTTAATTACAAAATATTAATTCAACTAATTTCAAAGAAAATAACTTGTTCCTTGTTTAAACATAATCTCTGGTTTGAGCTAAGAGGAATCAACTATGAGCCATTTCGATGTGCTCCGCAAGTTCGTAATTGTACATTTATATGAATAAAACATGCGAAAAATATTTCGTAATTCCGAAATTTTTAGTAATATTATCTTTATTTAATGTATGTTTCACAACATCATGAGTTCTATTTAGATAATAAATTATACGCGAATGCAAAAACATAATATGAATAAACTAATGATATTAAATTATTTATGAAACATTATACACTATTGGATAAAATAATTAAGCGCACTTCATGTGAATTATGTTAACACATATTCGTGTACATTATATATTTTTGTGCATCTGATGTATATCAAACATGAGTATATTAAATGCATTAAAATATCAGTTTCAACATGTTGGAATTCTATACAAAACAATCGATGTATTCCATGTAACATAATACCACATTATATGCGAAATCGAGTTTATTCACTGAGATGTCTCCAATAATAGCCATGTTGATAAAAATAATGACCTATGATAAAACATATACACATATATACATATACTTATATACATGTGTGTATATGTATAAATAAACGACAGTTTATTTCTTTTGAGTGCAAACTAGTATTTGTAGTAAATTTGACTTTTTAGTATTTCTCTTACATTTTTTTGTTGTTGATTACAAATTTCAAGTTACTCTGCAAATTTCCAATTACAACTTTAGCAGAAATTTCCAAATTCATGTAATTACATTCACTCGTTCGTGTCGCCCATTAAACAAATTTCTATTTGCAGTCTAGCACTATGTAATTGCAAACATTTAGTTAACGAAATTATACTGTAATCACATATTTCAGTCAGACGTCTAGCCCGTGGCATATGTTAACTTTGCTAAACTTGTAATTAAGTCAAACCGACCGAATCTCGGTTCCGAAAGCCAAAACTCAGTTTATAAATAGAAAGACGGAGAACTTTTTTGCAAATGTCTATTGACATTTATTAATCATAGGATACAAAATTAGTCCCTTTCTCTCATTCGTGAGGCAGGGTTTTGAAATATAAATAGAAATTTGTTTGGTCGCAGAACGGCTAGCAACCCTTTTGAGGTAGAGATGTAAATTTGTACACTGAAATGATTCATGAACAAATATTATGCATAACATGTATTAAAGATCCGGGAGTAGAAAGGTTCACCAACAATATCTCAAAAAACAAGTAACATGTGGCATTTTTAATAATACTATTTTAAAGTAGGGGACAAAAGATGGGTTGGTTACCCATGTCAGGAAATAAACGGCAATGTATCAAAACTCGTAACAAAAGTTTTTTTTGCGTTGGTAGTTTTTTTGGTTTTGAGCTCTTATATTAAGATTATTTTTAAATTAGATTCAACAGTCTCTCTTTATGCATCTCTATAAAAGCTTACATGTGGGTGGAGTGAAAAGGATCAGCTGAACCCTAATACTAACAAAGGTGTAAACAATAAGAAAGTAGTAAATGGAAAAGAAAATTAAGTTAGAAAAACCTATGTTATAGGAAATAAATTATTGGTTATTTCAACTCTAATGATGATTTCTTCTATCAAAGTTTTATACGAAGGTTGTATGGAGTGTGCTATTTGTAAAAATATGCCAATGAAAATTGTATTTCAAACAGAGAGAAGTTGTTCTTTATTTCTGAAAATTTTACAAAACAAATTAATCTGATATTGATAAATAGAAATACCTATGACTTTTTTGATAGTAAAAAAAATTATCAAGTGTTTGTTGATCATGTATAACAAGGTAGATTTTAACTTTTAATTTGGTTGTTTAATCTAATAATTAAACTTCATCGCACTGGTTAAATAAATGTAGCATTTATTCCGCAAAACCTTTTTAAATTTAAAAATAAAATGGTTTATTTTTGTGCCCCTTGGCTATTCTTTTTTTACGCCGCCTATGAGATAAGAAGAAGCATAGCTCATTCCTAAGAGCTATCAGCTGGGAAATTTACTGAGCTTAGTTAAATAGTCATTTGTTTGATATTTTGCTTGGTCTGATGTAGTTGGCTAGCTTTCACAGTATAAATGCTAAAAGTGAAATTGGACCTTTCTCCCCCGCCTTACCCTACATAGATAGATCCATATTTTCTAACAACCCACTCCTATATGCATGTATACAAAGCAGAGTATCATTATCATTAGTGGCCTACCCCAAGGCCAAAATACATGAAAACTATCCACTTTAATTTCTGCACCAATTTTCCTCCTATGAATACTGTTTTCAAACTTTTCTTTCAAAGTTTCTATGTATACTAATGCCTCTGGTTTCATCCTAATCCTTTTAGTTGTGCCTCTGATGGTGTTGTGCAGTAGGCGTAATGGATTCTATGTAGTTTTCATTTAGTTCCATAATCAAATCTAACAAAGTTTTTTTTATTTATCAAATTGATAGTGCTTTCTTATTTGCGACTTCGTTAGACCCTCTTTCTTTGCTACGTTTCTTCGAAAACCATGTTGCAAAACTGTGATTTTTGTTTTACTATATTACTATAAATTCATAATCAAATCCACTAAAGTTTTCTTACAAACAATTTATTTATTGTATTAGGTATTTTTTTATTTGAGGTCACTAATATGATGGATTTATACATTTCTTTTAAAAACATGATTCAAAACGTTTGTCGACCATATATTTTTCATAGACCATCTGTAGAGTCCGTGCCTCCAAAACATTTAAAATTACTCTTTATATTTTTATAATTAACTTGAAAAGTTTTGACCAACTTAACAACTTTTCCATCTTTGTGCACATCAGCTATCGTGATTCTATTTTATTGTGAATTTAGTTACATTTTATCAATCACTTTTACAGACTTGTATACAGAATTATTGAGCTTTATTATAATTAATTTAATATATACGTGCTAAGATTCAAATGTATGATAGAGCTTTTGTATTTTTATCGGGGTTATCGCATTGTATTCAATAATAATTATTATACTCAGTCATACATGAATCATTTTATTAGAAAATAAATTGAGACTATTTTTTTAACTAAAATATTATAAAAAAATAAAATGTATTTAATTTAATTATATATGTTATGACAATTTTTTTCAGAAAAATATATTAATGTAAAGAATTTGTCAAAAGTGCCTTTTGATTTTTATTCTCCTTTTATACTCATAATATTAATAATTGTTTACTTAGAAGAATTATGAAATTGAATGATAAGATATTACCAAAATCTATTCCAGCCTATCTAGAGCTTTGCCAAAGTTTCTATTATATATTTAAATTTCTATATTAAACATAAGTATCAATATAATTATTATCACTGTTATTCCAATCTTAGCAGAATATATTTCATAGTTTTGATTCATTCTCATATAAATCTCATAAAAATCTCTTACACCGACATATGGTTTTAATTATTTCAAACTACTTCAATATAAATCGCTAGAAGATAAACTTTTAAAAAGTTTCAGAGTTGATTAAATTTTTCCAATCTGTCGAAGACTTTATTTGATTAAGGAACTTGAAATGTCATTAAATGTAGCTAACCCAATAAGATGTAATAAATATTTTTCATTATATTCATATAATTTTTAGTTTTACCATTGTTTGAATAATTTCTTAAAATCATGTGAAGAAACAATAACAGTATCGTTAGTAATAATCAATTAATCCTAAATTAATGGACGCATTAATTTATCTTTATTTTGTAATTAATAAATTATTTCTGTAATCAAGTTAGAAAAAGGACAGATTCATCTCAAAAAAAATTGAAATAATTTGAAACGCATCTCAAATTAATTTTTTTTAACTCTATATAGGTTAAAAGAACTATAGATTTTAAACGTTAAGAAAAATGTATAGATTTTAAACTTAAAAGCGAATATTTTTGCTAATTACACAGATTTCAGAAATTGTTTGGGCCTACTCTTTAATTTATAACATAACTTTATTTTAATAATTCAAGAATTTGCAAGAACTTTGCAAAATTTAAAATCAATTTGTAACATACATATTATAAATAATTAATATGAATAATATTTGCAAAAATAATATACATTTTTTTATATTAAATTAAATTGTATTTCTAAATCGTTTAATGTAATGTATATAAGTGTTATACGTGTAGCAAATATTTGAAAAAACAAAATTTTATTTAAAATAATCCATTCTAAATAAAATTATTTATAAGAATAACCTTTAGTAGAATTCATATCTTTATTAGTAATAATGTGAATTATATTTTATAAAATAGTAATCAGTTATTCTTAAAATAATTTAAATTTCAAGGATTTATATTCGCAGATATAGTTTTCTAATAAATATATATAATTTGAAGAAACGTTCTTTCTCATCACTTGAGAATGAGTAATTGATTCGTATTTCAACGCTGTCAAACTCTACACCATTTTCAGTAATTTAATATTAAAATCAACCCATCACAAACTACTTATTTAAACAATTATTATTCTTGTACGGAAACAAAATTATTCGTATAATCTATATCATGTTATATATTAATTTCCAGAACACCACGGAGCGACATTCCATATCGGAAACAACATGAAGCACGCAAAATACAGATATAAGAGGCTTACATGAAGACAAAAACAATTTAATCGTCCTTCATAACATGCTTCAGCCCTAAACACGAAAACACCTGACGAAAAAACAATTATAAACCTATCAAATAACACAGAAAACAATGTGAAGGCACGCACTTCAGAAAAAAACATATCCGACAGCCAAATACTAATAGACTACAAAATGCATCAACAAATATCGTCCGTAGTCCGATTCCTGGTGATAATCTGGACGACCAGGTTGACCAATTATGTGACCGGCTTTAACCTGGACGGATCTCCGGTTAGCCATTCGCAGTTTAGGAAGTGGAATGCTGCCTTAAATGGAACTTTGGAATTAGAATTTAAGACGGAAAGGCCAAATGGCCTGGTTTTGTACACTGATGATGGTGGAACTTATGATTTTTTCGAACTTAAGTTGGTGGAAGGAGCTTTGAGGTTGAGGTATAATCTGGGAGGAGGAGCGCAGATCATTACGGTGGGCAGAGATTTGCATGATGGGCATTGGCATAAAGTTCAGGTTAGTGATTTTTTAAATGTATTATATATATATATATATATATATATATATATATTTGAGTGGTCCTTAATATGGACATTTCCAAATTTCCTTGCTCCCAAGGGCTCAAATGGTTCCAAATTGATAAACAATTCTCTGAAAGTTTTGGCTCTTAATATTAACATTTAGATAGTGCGCAATTCAATCAAAGTTTTGTATGGAAATAGCATGGAAAAAATTTTGAAAATTAAAAAAAAAATTTAAAGTATAACTTAGCGACAAATGAATTAAAAGTGAAAATTTGTGTCATTTTTTTGAAAATGTTTTCTATATTTCTATACAAAATTTTCATTGAATTGCGCTCTATCAAAAAGACAATATTAAGAGCTAAAACTTTCAGAGTATTGTTTTTTATCGATTTGGAACCATATGAGCCCTTGGGAGCAAGGAAATTTGAAAATGTCCATATTAAGAAACACCCTAATATATATATATATATATATATATATATATATATATATATCCACTAATGATGACATCAAATTGTATGTCGAAACGCTTGGAATTAAAAAGTATGTTATAAATCTTTGTTTTTTTTGTTTGATGTATCGACCTCAAAGAACATTCATATATATATATATATATATATATATATATATATATATATATATATATATATGTATATGTATATAACAAATGTATTCTGAGTGATCAATAGATATTAATTTGGAAATATGAACAAAACAACACTCTTCTTGCACTAATTTATTAAATAATAATTTTCACAAACGTTTCGAGACTAGGTTTGTCGAGTATATGTATATGTATATCAGTGGTGTTGTGCTAATATTTTTTTTGCCGGAACGCTAAAATTTAAAATCCGGTTCAAAAAAATTGATATATTTCGATAAGAACTCACAAATCTAATATATTGACCTCTTATATAATTAACTCTATTATATACAGCTAGTCTATAAATTAAATTCTACAAGTATGAGGAAATCATTGGGTACATAATTTATATTCTTTAATAACATTAATTATATTTATTGTGGTATTATTTGTATTCATTAATACTTACAGGTATTTATTATGATATAAAAGTACTCAAGATTTATTACAATACTACTTTATAAGACTTAACCTAATAATACGATAGATAGCCTATTACCTATCTTACTATACTATATTATTGTATATCATAGGCAGATATCTATTATCGATCATACCATGAGATACCTACACCGTCATTAACTTATTATATACCTACATAGTTTTTACTTCTTATAAATATTACTGTTTAATTTATATATTTACCTATATTATATAGGTTTACCTTACGCCCTATGTATTATTCTACCTATCTATTGTCTATACCGGGAATTGAACCCGGGACTTCCGCGTGGCGGTCGCGCACCTTAACCACTACTCTATCGGCTACCCCCACTAATAATATTATTAGGACTGCACTGTTGTTTCCGCGGGTCATTTTCTAATTTATTAGATAATTAATACTAAGGTGGCGCGACGACACGCGAAAAAAGACGGTTGATTGTAGCGTTACGGTGGTGTAGTGGTTAAAGTCGTCGCCTGCCACGCGGCGGACCCGGGATCGATTCCCGGTAGGGTTAATGTAGCGTGTAAGGAAAATTATAGGTAATAGGATATATAGTTGATATAGGTTAGGTGTATTCGGTATACAATGTAGGGATTTGAGAGTATATGATGAAATATAGCGTATAATATAGATGTAAGGCGTGTAGTATAGAATGCAACGTATAGGCATGCGTAAGGCTATAAAAATACACAAATAGGAACCTATGATGTAGGTGTTAGCGTATAAAAAATGCGAATGAATATAAGATTTAATTTATAAATATTATTTTTTCTATAAGAATTTTTATCTCGGTATTAAATATCTAAAATATCCAAATTATCCGTTAAGGCATCGATTACACCTTACTGCTGCCTTTGCCGTTATCACTTCATAAAAAATTAATTACTGCACTTTTAAACGATTGTGTGCACTGTGCGACAATAGACATAGAGCTATAAATTTTATTAAATGTTTGAGTAACTTGTGCGAGCTGATTTTCTTAAGATGTTCTTAGTCTCGCAACTTACTGAATTCTAAAAATTATAAATTTAAAAATATAATATAAAAATTATTATACCGCTGTCTGGAAGGGATGGCAATTCATAAATATACAGACTAATACATACAGAATTTGGAATTTTTCTATAATCCGTAATATTGAGAAAGTTTGCATTAGACCTAAAAAGGGATGCTTATTTACCTTAGCTATGGAAATATATATGGAAAAATTATATGATTTGCACATGCATCCTGTGCTCACTTGAACTAAACAATGATCATAATATATTTAACGAATTTTTAACAGTATTTACAAATTACATTCAAATCACCCAAAGCAAGTGGGTTAAAGTCGTGTAATTTTTTAATTTGCCTCCCCCCTTTGAATTTAAAAACTGATTTTTCTGTGGGGCGTGTGCTCCACGTTGGGAATTACTAGTCTAGGAGTACAATTTTTTAATCTACTACCAGGTTAATTTAATCTACTATCAATAATTGAGTGATCATCAATTCCACAGCACCTTCATCAGATTTTTAAAAGGTCAAAGTTTCTATGAATATGCATACAAATCTCAAATTGTAGGCCGAAATTTAGACAATAGGTCTATTGAAATATCAGGGTAACTCTTTTGCTATAAATTGTCAACTAATTTACCAATAAATAAATGTCAATAAAACAATGATTAAAAAAAATTACCAATAAATGTTGGATTGTAAAAATTTACAAGCTATCGAACGGCTTATATTTTTGCCTTAGATGACAAAAAATTCATCCAATTATTAAAATATTACATTTTTTTGCAGTTTTTATGCTTTTGTATTTATAGAATTGCTTTTTTCGCTACAATCAATTTCCATTATATGAATGTCTTAAATTATTTATTTTATTCGACTAACGGCTGCTATGTCCGAAACAAGTCCAACTTATATCCGAAATATTAGGGCATCAGGCACTTTTCGTTCATAAAGTAACATTAGTGAAATTTGAAATACACTACTGTATTGTAATTAATATTTCAGTTCATACACCTCAATTTGTAACTAAATAAAAAACGACTTTGATAATACCAGTGGTGTTGTGCTAATATTTTTTTGTCGGAACGCTAAAATTTAAAAACTGGTTCATGAACCGGTTCAAAACCCAAAAAACAAAAATTATTACAAAACCCATTGTGTGCACATATATGTATATTTATTACAATAATAAGAACATTTAATAAAAATTAGTTGAATAATAATTTATAAAATTTACTTATTAAATCATTTTCTGTATGTAGCGATTTTTTTATATTTTTTCTTGCCGGAACGCGTTCCTTCCCAAAAATGATTTGCCGGAACGACATTCCGGCGCGTTCCGGCTCGACAACACCACTGATGTATATGTATATATGTGTGTGTGTGTGTGTAGAGCTTCTAACAAAGAATCCAGTCGTAATAAAAAAACAAAAAGTTATATTCGATATTTTTTATTATTATCGACGATTCGGTACTAAGTACGTTCCTTTGTCAAGATACAACATCAAAGATGTAACGTATTTAGTTCCGAAACGTCAATAATAAATAAAAATCTCTTAAAAAAGTTTTTTTTTTTTTGTAATTGAATTCCTTGTTCAAAGCTCTACACAATATTCACAAATCCAAGGCTAAACCATTTAATATATAAATATAGACAAATTTTAGGTATGTAGGGTAATGTTGAGCTTTGAATAAAAAGCCGAAGATTGTGATAGAGAATATTTGGAAATTTTGAATTAGTTAAAAAAAAAATTTATTGGCCACGTTTTAGATTTATGTACATTCCAGTTCGAAATCTTTTATTACATATTTCAGAATAATGCTATTGAATTACACAATGAAACAGTTTTTTCACTTGTAATTTTTTTCCAATCTTTTATAATGACTAAGGCAAAAATTTATCGCGCAGATACAGTTATTGACATAAATAATAAGAGCCTATAATATAAGTTCAATCTGGCGAGTTTTGAATTAAATTTGAAAAAAAATTACGAATAAAAATAAGCCTTTTCTAGTGTTGATTTGGTACTTCTTAATATGCCTTGTCCATTTATTTATTGTATTTTAATTGAGATGTATTAATTCACAAAATAATTATTCTATCTTTTTTATACATCCAAAACTTACATATGTATTTCCGCTGCTCTATCGACAGAAATTAATTGCGCGTAGTACGATACTCATCTCCAAATTTAATTCGAAAGCAAAGGGTTAAAAATATGCTCGTACAAAAACTGTATGTTGACCTTTCTTCTGTGACAGTTTTAAATAATTAATAGTAACTTAATTTAAATATCAATATCTATATTGTAAGTGATTTAAATATCAATATCCATATTGTAAGTGATTTAATGGTCAGAAACCGATAGTGGTTGGTTATGTAATCTCAATTACAAGTTGGGTGAATTTGTCATGGCAGCAAAAAAAAGTAATAATAATAATAATAATAAACTAAAAACATTTGCTCTAATTAAATAATCATGGTATAATTATATGCAACACGAAATGTGTCATCAAAGCAAAAGAAGCGCACAAGCAAGTTCAAAAAACAAACAATAAAATCTAAAAATATGAGTAATTATTGTTGACATTTAAACGTAATTATACCCATGAACAAACCAAAGCTTAAATTACCAACGGCATATGATATTGTAGTAATTTCCATTTTTTTACGCGTTTGATAAATTACATATTAGTCGTAGGAGGAAAACTTTGTATTTGCTTTCTCTCGTACATAATAAAAGGTTAAACCAATTTGAATTAATGAGCAATATAATGAATTATTGATCAAAACAGTAATACATTGTGGTTTTAGCAATTAGATGATAGAATATAAAGACAGAAATCAGTGCAATTAGCACATAACATAATATACATAAATATATAAATTCATAATGCGCATAATGATGAATGCTATGCCCTAGGGCAGTTCCAACTCGATCCACAAAAGAATAGTGTGAGGTTTCCCGTTGCCAATTTACACCGTAGTGCCCAAAATGGGTAATTAGAAACATATTTCAGATCTAAATTTTCTAGTATAAAATGATATCACTACTGCATGATATGGGTTGTCAAAAGCGGAGTCTGTTCAAACTCAACACCTTTTTTATGTGTAGACTTTATACATATAAGATATGAACACATGATCGTGTTGGCATAAAGTATAACGGGGCTTAAAGGTCTGCGGGTAAAAAGACCCTGTACCAATATTTGGAAAACTAGTAAAGCTAGCGATATTTTAGCAACAAAATTTGGAAGTAGAAGGCAACAAATGTGTAACCTTTACTCGGTCGACTTTGCTACCACAAAATAATTGTAATTTTGTAAGGAAAGTATTTGTTTTGCGTTGTTAGCTTTTTCGTTTTTGAACATAATTGCTCAGTTCATGATATCGGAATATTATTTTTAAATATACTTCATTTAATTATTTTATAGCAATACTAGATAATCCGACAGACGTTGTCCTGTACCCAAGTCTACAATTCAAAAGTTTCAAACTTCTTAATATCCTATCCTATACTTTTCAATATCCTATTTGGTGTCCTGTGGTGCATTTGTGATTCATTTATATTCTTGGCACTAAAATAAATTCAAAAAAAAATAATATAGTATGTGAGGTAAAAGGACAATATTACACTTGACTTTGCCACACAACGTAATTGCTTCAATAATTTAGTCTATAATTTTCATAATCTCATACGATATATTATTTGCTCTGTGGCAATTATAATTTCTAAAGTACATTCTTCTTACTAATAATTTAATAAGCATTATTGCTTAAGTTCAAATCTTAGGTGAATTATTTTGTAAAATCTAGTTCATATGAGCACTGTTCAATCTAAGATCAACTTGATAAATATACCATATCCAATGCCCAACAAAAGAGTTTTTGACACATGAATCAACA